CCTACACGACGCTCTTCCGATCTCCCCAAAACCCCAAAACCCCATAAGGGTTCAATAGGTAAACTGTAGAAATAATGTTGAAACACTATTTTGGAAAAAAAGTTATTTAAATTAATTAATCAGTAATCAATGAACAATTTGTTATCATTATAAAATTTCGTTGGAAGCTTAAGGCAATTTAATACTGGGGCTCAAACACTTGACTTTATCATTTCCTTATCTAAAGAGGAGCTTTTATCTAGTTCATTATGATGCAGTTTTGACCTTTTAAGTGGATTTTCTAATCCGTTTAGATTCTTTTTATCAATCTTATTTGATGCATTTAGGGTATTTACTTAATTTTCGTCCTTCAATAGCTCCTCTAAATCTATACCCTTCTTCTTCAATTTGTGTTCTAATTTGATCTCTCTTTTCTTTTGATTCATTAGCTTCCCTAGTTTGATACTTTCAGCAATAGTTTTAGCACCATTTTGTACTTGCTGTTTGTACTTCTCATCTATCTTAAAATTGTTGGCATGTATTGCTTTTTGTAGATTGTTTTTATTTTTCTCATATTCTGCATTTTCCTCCTTCACATACTTTTCCTCCTCCTCCTATCGCTTTTTCCATTCTTCAAGTCTTGACTCATTGAGGGTATTTCTGAGTCTTCTACCTGAAAGATCACGGCACGATTCAAAGTTTTATTCCTGCTTCTTTTTTGGGTTCATGCTTCTCAATAGAGAACCAAATCCACCTTTACCGCCCTATAGTCCATTCGACAATGTAACACTGAGAGTGTAATCTGTTTTCAACTGACTCAATTCATGAATATTTTTGTTTGCTTAGACTAATCTTAAGAATGCCGTTGGGATGCCAAGCTGTTTTGACAAATGATTAATCAATTTTTTGAAGGTAGGAAATTTCTAAAGGGATAAAACTAGTAATTTCTGGTTCCAAGTCTGACAATAGAGTACCTCTTGCATCTTTACTAAAATTTATTTATAATTATTATTATATTTCTCTTTTGATTACTAAGATTTTATCGCATTATGGGGTTTTGGGGTTTTGGGGTTTTGGGG